CCGCTCTGCTCCTGTGGGGCCCTCATGTTCTGCTGCCACCAAGCCGATCTGGACTGTTTGGCTTATCCACCCCCACCTCACCCACAAGGCTCTAAGTTCCCTGACACAAGGTCTCAGAGGATGGGCGGACGCCAAAGGCAAGGGGTCCATCTTCTGCTTTGCTTCTGTCAGACGTGTGGTCCTGGCCTTCCCTTCCCTATCCCCCCCCCAGCACAGAAGGCTCCTTCCACCTCCAGGCCTCAATTAACTCATCGACTAACAACACCCTGCGTTCCTCTAACAACCCTTCAGTCAGCTGGGGGAGGTGTATGGAGCAGTGTTAAGTAACAGACAGCCAGGAGCCAGTGCCTAAGGGTCTCACTGGGGCACACAGAGGAACCCCGATGGGCCGTCTCAGCCAGTGGCCAGAGTGGAACGCCATCTGGCCCATCTGCAGTTCTTCCATAAGGAATCAGCCATTCTTACTCAGGGTGGAGCCTGAGAGCGTCCAGCCTCCCTACATCCTCTTGATGTGAAGTGTCTAAAGCCTACCCCTGCCGCACACCAAGGTACACACCTTTAACCCCAGTGCTGAGGCAGGTAGACCAGTTTACACAGTCAGATCCTCATCTGAAAAAAGCAAAATAAAACGCAGCTACCTCTATAGCAGGCTGCCCTCTCTCTCACCCCCCACCCCAATACAAACTGTGTAGGGACATTCTCACCCCACCACCCCAGCTTTCCTCTTATCTCCTTCAGCCCTGCCTTTATCCCAGTCCAAGTCCGGACCACCACAGTAGGCCCACATCTCCCTTCCTCCAGCCTGCAGCCAGCATGGGGCTCTCCCTGGCTCCTAGAGGTCACAGCACTAATGCCACCACTCTGCCTGTGTGGAAATGTTCAGTTGTTTCCTGTTACTCTTTAAAATAAAGGTTAAGGTCCCTAAAACAGCTCTCCCTGGTGGCATGTTCTGCCTGGTAACCCTTCCCTGCATCTAGTATGTTCCTATTTCTGCCTCAGGCACTACCCCAGGACAAGATTTGTGATTCTCAGAGGTGGTGATACAAGCCATCTTTTCCCTGGAACCACCCAGGACTCGCCTTTAAACCAGGGCAGGCATTTTTATTCCAAAACAAGCAGCAGAATTTTAACATGACCCCTACTGATGTATGAATGAATGAATGAATGAATGAATGAGAAAACTGCATGGACTTGATGTTCACGTCTTCAGTTCAAAACTTGTTTCTGAACATCTGTGGTCCTGAGCTGGGCAGGCCCTGACCTCTGGCTGGCTGGCTGGCCTGAATTCCAATGAGACTTCCCAGAGCAGCTCAGTATCGATTACAAGCCATCAATAATGCATCCCTTCAGAGAGGCCTAGGAAGCCATTAGCTGGGCCCACAGACTCTGATGCATGGCCTTGGAGAAAGTGGCTGCATGTGCCCATGGGAGGTTCCCATCAGCCTAGGAAACAGGGCTCCAACCCCACAGAGCGTGGGAAGGTTACCTCATGGGCCCTCACTGACCTTCAGGACTTTGTTCTAGAGAAGTGACCTCTCCTCCCTGCACAAGAGGCCACTCCAAAGTGTGCAAGCCATGTTTTCTCACATTCTTGAACCTGCCAGCTCCTTTGTTGAGATCCAGTGTCTGGAGTCAGGAGTTAGGACTGTGACTGTGCCGCAGTTAGGGGTTCATATCAGACCCAGGTTAGGGTTGAAAGTATAACAAGGACCCACATTCATGTATGATCAGGGTCAGGGCTCCGTGTACGGCCAGGAATGGAGGCTGAGATTCCTGAATCTGTACTGGGTATGTAACCAGAATCAGGGCTCAGTCTATGGCCGGGATCTGGGCTCAGTGAGTGTGGCACAATCCTTGTCTCTACTTTGGGCTATTGAAGCTCAGACTGTAACTAGAGTCAGGTTCAGTCTGAAACCACAGGTTGAAGCTGGCTAACTTTACTTCATTTATTCAGCAGTACCCGGGTGCCTCCTGTGTATAGACCACAGTACAGACAAGGTCCAAGTCTGTGTGTTTTTGCAATGTTCTAGGGGTGAAATGTGTCCTGGTGTTGGTATACCATACCTCTTACTAGCTTGAAAGAATCGATCATGCAATTTCTCTGTTTCCCATTACGTTGTGCTAGTAGCTTGAAACCAACCAAGATGAAACTATGCAATGCAGTGCAGATAAGGGCATACACTGTAAATTAAGTGAATTTTGCTTTGGTTTTTTTTTAATGTTTTATTTATTTGCATGCAAAGTAGCAGATTTCCTCATGGCATTTTTGTACCTATTAAGGTTTTGTTTCTTTGTGTGTGTGTGTGTGTGTGTGTGTGTGTGTGTGTGTGTGTGTGTGTGTGTGTTTGGTGTATTTTTGAGCCAGGGTTTCTCTGAGTAGCTTTGGATCCTGTCCTGGAACTCACTCTGTAGACCAGGCTGGCCTGGAACTCACAGAGATCAGCCTGCCTCTGGCTCTGAGTGCTGGGATTAAAGGCACGGCTGCCACCCACCGCCTGCTGAGGCTTTGCTTCTTTTCTATCAGCACGCGGCTGCCGGTGGGTGGTGTGAAAGGTGAACCCTCGAATGTTGTAACCACGCATTTGCATCTGATGGCTTCTCAGATGAGAGTTAGAGGGAGAAACCTAATGTGTACAGTTTAGGATACAAGTCTTGTTGTGTTGGGTCAAAGAGAATACAGATTTCAAGAACTTTAGGGAGATGGAGAAAATAAGGGAAGTGGGAGGAGAGGAGGGAGCAGGAACTGGGTTTGTAATATAAAAAATAAGCATTGAAGGGCCAGGTGTTGGTGGCGCATGCCTTTAATCCCAGCACTCAGGAGCCAGAGGCAGGCGGATCTCTGTGAGTTCGAGGCCAGCCTGGTCTACATAGTGAGTTCCAGGACAGCCTCCAAAACAATACAGAGAAACCCTGTCTTGAAAAATGAAAAAAAATTTTTGATTGATTAATTAAAAAGAAAATAGTGACTGACATGGCCACAGAGGAGGAAAAGGGGACCAGCTTTGCCCTCAGAAGCCCAGAGGTTCTGGGAGGAAGGGGTGCAGTGTGAAATGAGCATCAGGGCAAGGGGATTGGGTAAAAGTTTAGACAAAAATACTCCAAAGCTTGTCTGGTCAGGAGGCCAGGCTCCACCCTAAGAGGTCATGGCTTTGTCCCCTCTGGAGAAATGAGAAACCAGAGGGCTCAACACATAGGCTCTGGATAGGATTGGGCAGGTGCCTGGGAGAGAGACAAGCCTGAAATAAGTGAGTCTGATGCTAGCTGAGATGATATGAGACCCTGTCTGTGGAAGGGAGGGAGGGAGGGAGGGAGGGAGGGAGGGAGGGAGGGAGGATTCAAAGAGGCTAATTCGACTGAGGATCGGGCACACTGCTGCAGGTGGGAGACCAGGTAAGGCCCTCTGCGTGGAGATCAGCCATGGGATCTGGGATGGGGGAACAGTTGGGAGCACACCTCGTGCCTTTACAGAGCAGCCAGAGGCTTGAGGAAACAAGAGGGGCAGGATGGTGTTGGCAGGCCCAGGCTGTGCGGAGGCTTTTCCAACCAAGGGTAGGGAGTTTGGGCTTTCTCCCAAGTGAGGTGGTAAACACCAGGACTTGCAGACAGGGGTGTCACGATCTGATTTAGGTTTGCCAGAGCCCACATGCGGATATGCAGCTGTCAGTCGATGGCCTGCAGTAGAACTGGAGACAAGTGAAGCCACATAGGAGAGCACTTGAAGATGGAGCTGGACTAGGGAGCCGGTTCCATGCCAAGGGGACATATTTTGGCTGTGGCTAACAGAAGATAAAAATACCTGAGGGACAGGTCTGGGGAGACAGTGGAGTGCTATTTTGACCAAGTGAATTGGCCACATGAAGATGATAGTACCAGGTAAATGGAGGTGCATGTCTGACTTTTTTTTTTTTTTTTTTTTTTTTTTTGGAGACAGGGTTTCTCTGTGGCTTTGGAGGCTGTCCTGGAACTTGCTTGGTAGTCCAGGCTGGTCTCGAACTTACAGAGATCCGCCTGCCTCTGCCTCCAGAGACTGACATTCTAATAAGGGGTCTGGACTGTTTGGGGGCCTCAAGGACAAGTAGGTAACAGCTTTGGCACCCTCGCTAAGTTAGATGGCTGGCATGCAATGTGTACTTTGAACACTAGGTGGCAGAGAAGACTCATTACCGTTTAGCCCACGGAGACCATTGTCCTACAGGCAGATGTCCCAGTAAGATTTGCAGTATGGACACCTGTCAAGAGACATTTAGAAGCCTTTCCAAGACGCTTTCTAACAGTGATGATGGTGGCTGTGATGGTGTTACCGCTGAGATTTTTATTTTAACAACGTCTTCAGAAAGGGCCATAACACTCGGAGATACAAAACTGCATTTACAAACCAGGAAACTGAGGCCAGAGAAAGTGAAAAGACCTCCCCAAGGTCACATATCCCGGAACTATCTAGAGCCATCCCCCACAACATGTGGAAAAGGGAAACAGATATTACTGGAAGATAACTAAGCCGGACCAGCATGTGTGTGAAGCCAGAATGTGTAAGCCGGGCTATCTTGGGGGTGGGGACTCTGCTGACTTCCATTCATCACCTGTCAGAGCCGCCTGAAGAGGGCTTTCCTTTTATTCCTTGGAGGTGCACAGAGAGTCGCTAAAGGATTCAAATCCAATTTCCTTACCGCCGGTCCAGTGGTTTTCCTACAAACTACAGTTGTCTTTCTAGTCACAGCCATTTTCTTAGAGTAGGGCCTGGCCTTGCAATATCTGAGACAAGGGGTCGCACTTACTGTTTGTAAAAAGTTCCAGCGTGTTTAGTGTTGCTGAGAGCTCGCTAAGGAATACAGCATCCCGCCTTTGGGTGCTCGCCCTTTTATACCCACATCCAAGTGTGCCATCCAGGTACAAAACTCCGAGTGAGGTTGTGGGGCTGCGGGTCCCTGTCCCCATCCCCACCCCACCAGCGCACCCCACCCCACCAGCGCACCCCCCCCCAACCCTTCTGCCTCTTGCAGTTTGAGATTCGGCAGCTGCGTGCGCACCTAGCCCAGCAGGACCTGGATCTGGCTGCTGAGCGGGAGGCTGCCCTGCAAGCCCCACACGTGCTCAGCCAGCCACGCAGCCGCTACAAGGTAGTGGAGGCCGGCACGTGGGCCGAGGAGACTGCGGCTGAGAGCATCGTGGAGGAGATGAGACCCTCTCAAGGTGAGCCCACTGTCCCCAGAGTCCCAAGGATTCCTCCCTCACCCCACTCCAGGGCTCGGCATACAGAGGTTAAGACACAGGATTCCAGGAGCTGTGGCAACTTCTTGCTTGTTTGTGTCTTCTCGTCTGCCCCTACCTGCGGTGGCACTCAGAAGTCAGCACACTCAGAACTACCTATAGAGCCCAGGGGGAGCATCTAACCAGGGGACCTTGACACAAGCTAAAAATTATTCAGATTCAGGAAACCCATTCAAAGGGCCATTGTGAATCAATAATTGTTACTTTCCTGTATTTGCAAAAAATCCTGACAAAAGGAAGGGCTTTGTTTTTTCTTTTTTTCTTTCTTTTTTGGGGGGCAGGGTAGATGGTTAGAGTGTCCCGTCCATCATACCTAGAAAGCGTCAGGGGCAGAGTGGGCACCTTGTAGCTCCGCTCAGGAACCAGATGAAAACTGATCTACTTTGCTCTCTCCATTTCTATTCAGTCTGGAGCCTCAACTCATGGGATTGAACCACTCACTGTTAGGATGGTCTCCCAACCTCGAGTAACCCAACCTAGATATTCTCAGTGTTCCCTCTTCAGTGCAGAGCCTCCGGTGCCCAGACATGTGTCTCCTAGGTGACCAGTCTGTCAAATTGACACCAACATCAACCATCACCATGGTAGAGCCAGGCTCCTAGTTGGAGGTCTGAGATCCTCCTAGTGAACGGCCACCTACCACAGCCCAGAAAAGCAAGCCCAGGCCGAAAACCTTAGCAGTCTGTGACCTAAGTCTAATGGGGGAGATTGAGGGCCATATCATGAGTGAAGGGACCTGGGACAGTACCAGCCAGGTACTGCACCAAAGGAGCGATTTCTAGATCCAAAGCCCATTTCTTCTTCCAGGCAGGTTCCTTGTGGGGTGGGAAGAAAGGAGCTGCACAGCCAGGGGAGAGATGGTACTGGGCCTAGAACCCCAACTTCAGGACGCCAAAGCCAGCTTGATCTAGGAATGGCTGTACCGTTTACATCAAGGACAGAACTAGAAAGGGCGAGCAGGGTGGGGCACTGCGCTCCCTGACTACATGGCTTGAGGCTTCAGTGGCCTCACCTCAGCTCCATCGCCTCATAGCAGGGCTGAGGAACCAGTCCTGCGAGGTCGTGCGATCTCCCCCCACCAGTGTCCTGCGACCTTCTCAAAATCCTTCATGGCACTCTCTGATACCACACCGTAACTGATTCCCTGTGCTCACTCTGGAATGCCTAAGTCTCTTTGGGTAGTATGGTCATTTGCTAGACGCCTTTATCAAAATGCCACAGGCCAAGAGATCTGAGCAACAGAGATAGCCTCACAGTCTTGGATGCTAGAAGTCCGAGGTCAGGGTGTTAGTAGGGTTGGACCCTCTGAGTGCCATGATGGAGAACCTGTCTGTGCCTTCCATTTATATCTGTGTTCAAATTCCCTATTTGTGTAGGGGTAGCCTACTCTAATATGGCCTCATCTTGCAATCATGCTGTTTCCAGATAAAGCTCGAATCCTGGTAGCGGGAACTGGAACTTTAGTCTAACACATTGGGGAGGGATGTGGTGGTGACAGGCCTGCCTTGCCAACTCCTGCTCCCTGTTGCCCTTGTGACATCTCTGGACACCTCCCTCTCTTTGAATGCACACTTACCATGTGTGTCCCTGCCAGCCGTCTGCATTTTCACAGCTATCCCCAGAGCTCTCAGTGGTACAGCCAGTGCTTCAGAAGCAGAGGGCAGAATGCAGGGGCTGTAAGAAGCCTCCATGATTCATGGCCCGTAGTCGTCTGGGGACTCGGGGCATCCCCCAGCTGACTTCTCTCCGACCAGGAGCCATGTCCAGGGTGGCATTTCCATGACATTAGAAATTACAGTCGGATGAGTGAAGAGCATTCTGGGCCACTCTGAAGATTAAGAAAGGGCAACATTTGTTAGTAGCTGTGACTTCCAGGCTAGCAGGGTTCAGAGGCCCTCTGCATGCACAATAGGACACAGAGAACCCAGGCGTTAACCTGCAGACATAGCAGTGAGTCACAGGAGCCTTGGGACGTGGCCAGCATCACCTCTGTGTGGCTGTCACTCTTTAAGTGGGGGAGGGCAAGAGTGCCAGCACCAGCCCCAACCCAGCCTCATTCCTCTGAGAGGGAAGAGCTTCCCAAAGTTGCCAGCAGGTCATCATCAGACTACGCCGACAGGCTTCTGTTTAGACTTGCTTTAGCACAAATCATTTTTAAAACCTGGGCTGCAAAGTTCCAGACTTTGGGGCCTGCCAAGTTCACAGTGCCCCTGTATAGTCATTAATACTTCTCTCCCAAATTTATTAGTCTTGAAACTCACCCATAACTTATGAATTACAGCTCCTGGTAGGAGTGCCACAGATTTCACCATATATCACAACTTCAGCGTCCCCCTTGCAGCACCAGCATCCAGAGAAACAGCCACAGAGGTGCCTCTGGCCAGTGTGCCCTTGGTCTTCCCTCTGCCCAGCAGCAGGGAGCAGGAAGTGAGCCAGTCCCAGGGTTTATCCTTGGAGGAGACAGGACCGGTGTGCTCCTGGACACAAGGTACCCTTGCTGGCCCCAAGTGTGTGGGCCCTGATAAAAGTCCTGGGGACCACAGGAGCCCCAGAGCTTGTCGGACAGACCTGAGAAGCCTGACAGAGTGGCATTTGAAGTAGCCTGGATGAGTTTGGACCCAGGTCTGGCTTTGAATCCCAGCTCAGCCTTGAAGGTCACTGCCACCCTGAGCAGGGCAAGCCTCTTCACCTGTACAGTCACACAGAATCTTGGGTTTCAAGTCCCTGCTATGGACATCCTGAAAGTTTTGGTGCTTTTTGAGCTACTCAGTTCAGCAGCTTGTCTGGTCTGAGAGTCCCAGAAGCTCCTTACTGAGAAAGCTCTGGGGTTCAGTTGTATGAGCTGCTGTCTGGTGTGGCATTCGGCAGGTGCTTGGAGAATGTTAGCATCTTCCCTCAGTGAGGGCTGCTGAGTCACAGGGGCATGGGAGTCTGGGAGCAAGAACCAGGGCGCAGCCTCTCCGGCTCTGAGATGTGTGGGTCTGTGCCAGGCACCCTTGCCACCCAGCCACATGGAGCTTAGCCGTCCGGTCATCTCCAGGAGGCCTGGCCCAGCCAACTCACCAGCCTTCCTCCCTCTGCCTTGACCCATATAGGTCAGAGCTCTAATCAAGGGACTCAGTGCCACCTCTGGACTCAGAGAGGCTTTCTCAGGATCAGTCGGGTTGTGTTTGCAAAGTGTTCACTCCTAGGGCGAGTGTCTACCTCGGAAGCACCCTGAGACTGCCGAGCCAGCAGGAGTGCTGTGGGCCAAAAATCCAGGCATGCAGCTGTCCATAGCTAGGTAACTCAGTGGCAAAGTTAACTTTGCATTTGCCACCCCCATTTTATAGGTGAGGAATCAGAAGCCCAGAGGGACGGAGAGATTTGCCTAAGACCACACAGCAAGTGTCCACCCCAGACTGTTTTCATCTGAAGCCTATGTTTGCACCTTCTCTTCCCACAACCAAGGTCTGCCAGGCTCAGTCCTCAGTGAGCTGTTTCCACAGAACCCTGGAGTTCCTCAGTGCTAAGTCAAAACAGCCCTCGAGGGATGGCGTGATGCTAGGTGGAAGGTGGCTTGTGAAGCTGGCTGTGTGGCTCAGGTGTTCCTCTGCCACATGCCCCGAGCCTCATCCTAGTCACAGGTCTCTTGTTAGTGGTTAACCGGAAGAGTGAGGGCACAGGCTGACAGTGCAGAGGCCATTCCATGGAGGCCCTGTGGCCGGCCTCTCCAGAGGGAGTGGAAGGTTTGGAGGTTCTGCAGATCTGTGACCTGTGTAGACCTCTGTTTTGGCACTTGACATATGTCAAACCAAAATACTGAGGGAACTGAGTGACATGTGACTCCTGCTCTTAAAGACTCTGGGCCCCATGCATGGATGGGGACAGAGGGTCAGCCCCAGGGTCCTTTTCCAAGAGAATGGGATCCAGGAGCCTGCATGAAGCAAAGGGTGCCAAGATCAGCACTAGAGGAGACAGGGTAGGCCTCAGACATCGAGACCCCTGTGCAGCATAGGAACACACTTGGACAGAACCCCAGTGGCCACCCAGGGACCAGGTTTGATATCCAGTACATTCAGAGGGCAGCAGGTATCTGCCAGCCAAGAGCTTGCGTGAGTCAGCAAACAGAGTTGCTAAACACATCTGCAGGGTATAGGCTGCTTTAGGGGATGGTTGTGCCAGTTTTAAAAGGACCAGTGTACTAATAATCAGTCTGGTGGGGCAGTGGTGAGGATTATAGTCACCCTGGGTTTACCTTTGGTTCTCATAAACAGGGCAGTTTCAGACTCTGAAAAACCTGTGCTTAGTAGGCATTTATTTCCTGATGAGATGGAGAGTCCCTGCTCCACACAGGGATGGTTGCCCCCAGCCCTTGACTGTGCTTCCAAGGCAGGACCTCCTTGCTTTAACTCCTGGCAGAGGGGCAGGCACACTGAATGACTCAAGAGTGAGGGTTGCCCAGCAGGGGTCATTGTAGACAGACTCTCTTTGGAGAGGTAGCAGATTCTTCCCCAGTGACAGGCCCAGGCAGGCAGGTGCATGATTCCTCTCTGGGGTTAGGAGATGAGCCAGATGCTTCTGGGACCATCTTTCCCTGTGCTTTCTGGGCTATCAGGGCCATCTAGCCATGTAGGCCAGCCACATCAGTCTGTAAGAGCCTTGCTAGGGACCCTCATATAACAAATAAAGACACTGAGGTCCAGCAAAGGGACATGACCTGAGCTCTAGGTCAGTAGTGGCACCAGAAAACAACACCTAAGTGATCGCCCTTGCTGCTTGTCCCCATGGCCCAGTGGCCCTTGCTGGGAACAGTCACTTCTGCCTCCCAACACAGTGGCAGAGCTAGACTGCAATTATAGCAAGGTTAGGGACCGCCAGAGAGTCTGTGCTAGCTAGGAGCAGGGCCTGGAGTCAGCCACAGAGCACACCTCTGACCACAGGCGTTTCAAGAACAAAAGAGGCAAAGAAAACGCTTAAGATCCACTCTTCTACCACTAAGATTCTACACTTGAAAGGTGCACTGGCCTCAGCAGCTAATTCAGGAGTGCCTCAGTTGCCTCAAAAAGCTTCAGGTCTTGTCACTTGCAGACTTCAGTGGGCAGACAAGCCAGAGGGTATGCAAGTCCCCGGTGGTCTCCACAGCCTCCCATAGGTATGTATGGGATGCACTCTGTGTACCTGGCTCACTTGGGAATCTGGCCTGTTAGTTCTCTGTAATCTTCACTATAACACAGGAGTGTAACCTTCACTCTCCCCATTCTACACTGGCTCAGAGAGGACAGTTTAGCTAACACGGTGACATACCGTCACACGCACCCTTCTCTGTCCTCATCTCTGTAGAAGCCACGGTGAAGGACGACATGAACAGCTACATTAGCCAGTACTACAATGGGCCCAGCAGTGGTAAGTCTGGGTTGGGACTGTTTGCATGAACTATGCAGCCCCGGGATACCTGTGGCCCCAGCAATCCCTAAACCCAAGGATAGGTGTAGTCTGGCCTGGCTTTGGGTAGCAAGGCCTGTAGACTTTAATGGCAGAGCTCAGGGCCAAAACACCTGACTTCAATCCTCAGCAGACTGTCAGGTGAAACTCTGATACCTTAGAGCTCAGCCTGCAGGTGCCAAGGTCAGGGCAATCTCTCTCTGACCCATGAGGGTAGCGTGGAGCCCTACTGAGGGAAAAAGGCTATAATCCAGAACTCAAGTGATCTCTCGTCCAACCTGGAGACATGCTCAGGGGGCCCGGAATGGAAAAAGCAAATTTACCCAGCATAACTAGCTAAAGGGGCAGTAGGCCTCGGGCAGCCCTGACATGCTTTATGCTTTCTTCATACCCTTGAAATCTTAGGGTACACCTAGTGTGTTTTCCTTGGGGGCAAGAATGATTTTATACCTTTTAGCATCTTGTTTTTCTGTAGCCAAAGTCTTAAACCCTGAGTTTGGCTTTTACGGTCCTTAAAATCTTGCACTCTCCACTGTAAGTATAGACTATATGCTATATAACCTGTATTTGATTAGTTTTCTTCTCCTCTACTTAGCCCCCCCCCCCCCCCCGAGGCAACTTCTCTCTTTTCTCCTTTCTCCTAGCCTCATCCAAACTGCTGGTTCTCCAGCCTTGACCCATCTTCTTCTGGGAGAAACCCGTAATTATTTACCCAGAGTAGTTCATCATTGCCCTCAATGCCTTTCCGAGCTGCTGAATGCTCACTGCCCTGAGGCTCATCAGGCTGCAGAAAGCAGACTATTCAGGATGTGCCTGCCCCCATCCCAGCCCATTTAAAATTCCCTCAAGTGTGACAAGGTGGATCCCAGGGCACTCTGGCTAGCCAACTGGTAAATTCCAGTCTCCATGAGAGATCCTGTCTCAAAAAATAAGTAGAACATAAGGTATAAAATAAGGTATTAAAACCATGCATTGGTGGCACACACCTTTAATCCCAGCACTCGGGAGGCAGAGGCAGGTGGATCTCTGAATTCGAGGACATCCTGGTCTACAGAGCAATTTTCAGGAGACAGCTTCCAAAACAATACAGAGAAACCCTGTCTCAAAAATAAATAAATAAATAAATAAATAAATAAATAAATAAGATATTAGAGGAAGACATCCAATTCAACTCCTGGCCACCACACTCCCTTACTTGGGAGAGCACTCCTGTATTCATGTGCATGCACACATACCAATAATAGGAGTAGTAATGATAATAATTAAAAAACCTCAATGACTCCTAAACAGTACCCCAATTCCATTTCCTGGTACAGGTGTTCTGGGGTGGCTGGGATGGGCTAAGTTAGTCTGTTTTGGAGACACTTCTGCCTCTTGGTTTAAATAAAAACCCACAGCAAGCTGTCTGAGGCTGTACTCCCAGACCATCTGTAGCACCCAGAAGACAGCAGCCTCCGCTGCCTGAGTGTGGTCTGGAGGGCGAGGCACTAGCTGGCTTCCAAGGCTTCCACTGGGAAGTGTTGTGGGCCCCTCTTCATGGATGACTGGTTGAGTGCCACAAGCCCGCACTTCCGTTCAACAAGGTGGGTTGGCAGGAGCTCCCTCAGTGCAGGCAGTGACAGCACCCTGGGTTCTCAAAGGCCTCACTGTGGCTACTTCCCAAGGCCTGGCCACACTTGCTGTGGAGCCCCACACGGGGCTTCAAAGTCCAGCTGGGTGGAAAGAGGCAAAGCGTAAGGAATATTTCCTTTCTTGCAGACAGTGGGGTGCCGGAGCCAGCGGTGTGTGTGGTCACTACAGCCGCCATAGACATCCACCAGCCCAACATCTCCTCAGACCTCTTCTCTGTCGACTTGCCTCTGAAAGTCAGTGGCAACAGCACCTGTTCCAGTGCCACCGCGGAGACCATCTCCCACTCCACCTGTGGCTCAGTCGCCAGGGCCCAGAGCGCCAGCAGCCAGACGCTGGGTTCCTCCACAGACTGCAGCACCCCCCGGGAAGAGCCGTCCTCTGAGCCTGGACCTTCTCCCCTGCCACTCCCTCAGCTGCAGGTGGCAGAGGCCACAGTCCAGGACCTGATGCCCTCTCTGTCAAAGGACCCCTGCCCATCCCATAAGGCCTTGGACCCAGCCCCCCTGGCTCAGCCTAGCCCAGCAGTCTCAGCCCAGACCAGCCCTGAGCTGGAGCAGAGGGTAAGTCTGTTCAGCCAGAAGAATCAGGAGGCCCTCCCTGTTCTGCAGATCAAGCCTGCCATCCACTTGCCGCCCACAGCCGGGCTGGAGGAGAAGTTCAGATCTTTGGAATCCAAAGAGCCAAAGTTGCATAGGGTTCCCGAGGCCTAGAGAGCCTGCTGGCTTGCTGAGGGAGACAGCCATCTGAAGCTCTTTCAAGACCCCAGAGGCCACCCAGGGCCACAAATGGGGCTCAGGATCCCGCCTGGCCTCCCTCAGGGTGCTGCCTGCCTCCAGGGAGGTGATGCCAGACTGAGGCCATGCACCTCAGACCTCAGAGTCCAGAGCTGGGGCCTCCCCTTGCCCTACTCAGGAGAGGGTGGTGCTCATGGCTGGGGTTTGGGTTTTTTTTTTTTCAAACCATTTTTACAAAAACCAGCCTATGGTCCAGCTTTAGCAGGGTAGGGTTCGGGGCCAGCTCAGCCTATTTCGTTGCCTTCGTTCCTGATGCCTGCCCGGGATTCTCGGGAACAGCACTGTGAGCAGGGGCTGCCCAGCCTCACCCCAAGGAATGCTGGGGAAGCCGACACAACCACAGAGACCACATTTGAGCTTGTCTCACCTCTCATTTCAGCACGGACCTTTCCAAGTCTTCACAGGCCATGAGGGGACATATCTGGAGGTGGGAGGGATGCGGGAGGGCAGGGGCAGCCATTTTCCACCCTGGCTTTAGTAATAAAAACCAGCTGCACTGAGACTTGTGGGTGGCAGAGGTTTTTGTTTGGTTGCCAGCCCACGTGGCGTGTCTGGAGTGGCTCACTAGGGGCAGGGTTAGCCGGGCACACGCTTACCCAGGCGGCTTTTTCTCCTCTCTGGCAGCCTCAAGGCCTTTACAGAGGGGAGAGCCCTAAGCCACCTGTGTAGGCCAGTGAGTGCTACCCCTCCCCCACCTCCCCAGTGGACTGGAGCCCACAGCTGTGCCTCCCTTGCTGGCAGCTCCCAAGCTCCACCCCTGGGGGCCTCAAACTCAACCTGGTGCAGAGCTCTGAGTTCAATGTTTTATGCGCAATAATAGTTTGCAGTCTTTGTTTTGCCGTCTGCCCAGTTACAAACCAGCATGGCTTCACCAGCTCCCTGCCCGGCCCTGGTCATTCTCCAAGTGACCCCAGCTCCCATCCATGCCTTGCTGCACCGCAACAGGCTCTTCCCGGCCTAGCCTCTGGCTTCCCCTTCTCTATCACACCCTCCCAGGCCGCTCTCATCCACCTTGCCCCAAATGTCAGTTTTGTGTTCTCAGTTGTGTGTGGGGTGGGAGCAGGGAGGTCAAGTTTGCAGATTTAAGGCTTCTGGTCCCCTCCCTGGCTCCTCTGCCGGTTTCTTAGGTTATGAGGCCTGAGTCCTGCTTAGAGACGCAGGGCACAGGCCTAAGCACAGAGCCCCCCTGGAAGGGTGGTTGGGTCAGAGAAAAGGAGGGGAATTGCTCTGTGTAGGCAGAGGACCACCTCTGGTTCGTGAGATCTGTAATGGGGGCCCTGGAGGATTGCCAACTTTGTTCCCTGGCATGGAAAAAAAAAGAATTGAACAACCATGAAAGACAGCAGAGGAAGCGGCAAGGAAGGGAAAGTAACAATTTTATCCCTTACAGTTGGGAGGGGCCTAGGGCTGGGAGTCTGCTAAATGGACTTGGGTATTTTACAGGGCCCCAGGGTCCTTGCTGGTCATGTTTAGATACCATCCTCCTGCCCCACCACCACCCACCCTCCGGCAGTACCCCACACACACGGCCTCATGTCTTCTCAGCGTTTCCCTCAGTGTCTTGTGAGAACATGAGGCTGCCACCTCACGGAGCCCGCTGTCACTTCCCTTATTATGTCCATCCAACTCTCCTGCATTACTCTCACCTTTTGGAGACGGACACTGATTGCTGTTGGGGGAGGGCCAACGGCTACTCTAGTTGCTTCCTACTGACACGGGGTGGAGTCTAGAGGCTGTCAATCCAAGGGAGAAGCAACTTTTATGAGGTACACTCTTGGGGCCAGTTCAGGAGGTTTCAGTAAAATTCTGGCAGGACTAGTACCCCATCTGCAGGACAATCTGTAGGAGCAGAAGGGATGAAGGAGTGGAGAGAACAGTATCAGGGGTCACTACAGTACAGCTCAGAGCAGACAACCAGAGAGAGAGAGAGAGAGAGAGAGAGAGAGAGAGAGAGAGAGAGAGAGAGAGAGAGAGAGAGAGAGAGAGACTTAGCCATCATTTGGTTTTTAGCTTTAAACAATAGTGGACCCGTATCTCTTGGCTGCAGGCAGGCAATGCAATGTTGAATTGAGCCAAGATCACGATGATTCATACCTGGAAATAATCATCACCAGCCTGTGCTCTTTGACTGTTCTGCTGTTCTCCTTTCTCCCTTAGGGGGCTTTGGAAGCTATTTAGAGACAGACATACTTGCGTCTTGTGTGTGTTAGGGGAACTGTTGCTGTGATGAGACACCATGACCAAAGCAGTCTGGGGAGGGCTCACACTTCCTGTCACCACTCTTCACTGAAGGACTTCAGACAGGGCAGGGACCTGGGGCAGCAGCTGATGCAGAAGCCATGGCGGGATGCTGCTTACTGGCTTGTTTCTCCTGGCTTACTTAGCCTGCTGGGTGCCTTTTGGGAAGACAATTCCTAGTTACGCAAGCTTCACGCCTGTGACTTAGCCTCAAGTCTAATGTCACATGTCAAATTTTGGAGGCCTTTCCATACTTCATAGCAGGTTGGTGTCCCTATGGAATGCCCACCTGACACCTGGCTAGGCATGGGTGTTCCCCCAGAGCTCGTGGGGGTGAGGCTGACTTTTCAGTCTTCTGCATCATGATGGGCAAGATGGCACTACAGGATTTGTCATCTGCAGGACTGGAGCCTACAAGGACTGTACCAGTTACCTACGCCCATCGGACCGGAAGCAGCCACCTTCCGCATCTACCCGCCACTCTATTGAGCTCTGCTGTCCCCAGTCCTGAGCTAGGGCTGTCCCCAGATCAGCTAGGACGTGGGCCAGATGAGCACTGCAGATCTGCTGCCAGCCAACACCCACCTCTGCCCTGAACCTCAGCTCCATTCAGCAACGAACCACGGGACTGACGGGACCGTGGAGGAGGCAACCTTTACAGGGGGATTGTCAAAGAATAAGAACACCACTTTTTTTATGGAGTCGTTTTTACACTGAACTGCAAAACCGACCCACTTCCAGGAAACATGAGCCGGGAATTCTCTCTGTCTGGCAGGCCACTGTGGCCCTGAATGCTGGCTTGAAGTGATGTTCACACAATATGCCACAGAAGTGCTTGCAGTGGAGTCTTGCAGCTTCTGTGGGATGACTGTGCAGAGAGGGACCAGCAAGACGAAGAGCATGGGGCTGAGAGGCTGAGACCCTGACAGGTCTGGACCTCCCTGCATATGCAGGGTCGGAGGGGAACGGCAGAGAGCAGAGGAGCCCAGCTCTGGTGTTCGGTGTCTGAGACCCTGGAGTGTGGAGATGGCTGCCTCTGGTATCATGAGTGTACCCAGGGTGCCAGACAGCATTACGGTTCTTTTTCTGCACTCCTCTCAGAAAAGGGCAGGGCCAAGCCTCAGTTATACTCTCATCACAAGGCTGAGGCAGGTACTTGAGGCCTGTGGTAAAAGCCTTGGCCTTCATGGCTCTCGGCAGCTAGCTGGGGGTCTGTAGAGGCGGGCCGGCACTCCACAGGTCTCTAGCCCAGGGGAGAGGCTCCCTGCTCATTACTCCAGAAAAGCCCACGGTGGGGTCCCAAGGGAGCTGTTTCAGACTCCCACAGAAGGGGGCTGCTTAGGTAGCAGTTGCTGCCTGCTGTAGGAATACAGTGACAACAGCAATGGCTGTGCTTATTTATTTCCTATGGGGACAGGCACTTTTAACAGTCTCCCCTCTTGATAGTCCCACAAACTAGGCTCTACTTCCCCTGCAAAGCTGGGGAGAAAGTCCAGGCACAGCATGATGAGATGACTGTCCCCTGCTACCCACAGCTAACTAGCAAAATGTAGTGGCAGGATCAAATAGAAGCCTGTGTGGTGAGATGCTGTGTAGGAAGTGGTGAATCAAACCAGGCCCCAACAGAAAGTCAGAGACACAGTCTTGACTCCAGCCCCTTAGTGCTCTTCAACTGCTGTGTTCCAGAGGCCTGGCTTTCTTGTTCAGCCTTGCCTCTGGAGCTGAGAACCTTGTGACCATCCTGATATGCTGAACCCAAAAGTAAGGACAGCAAGGCTCAGAGCCAGCAGTGTGTGGCCAGCCTGCAGGAACCCTGCAGTCCTGGCCTGAAGCCGCCCAGAGCTGGGAACTGAAAGACTGTCTTTAAGTAGCATAACTGGTCAGTCCCCTGAACCCCCAGCAAGGATTCAAACCAAGAACCTAACATTTCAGGCCAAGTCATATAGATGGGAACGGACACAACAGTTCACAGACCCAGTGGAGGCTGGTATAGCTCATTCGTTCCTTCCATAGCTTAGTAAGGCCCCTCTCACTCCAGGACCAGCCTGGGTCAGCCAGGAGAGCAAGGTTCTTATCACTAACAGAGACTCTAGAGCTAGGTTATTTTCCCTGGGAGCTGTTGAGAGTCCCACATGAGAGGTTCAAGCCCACAGTCCCCTGAGCTTGTGTAGCTGCCGAACAAAGATTCACAACTCTGGGTATCTGAACTGGGCTGGAGTACAGTCAGCTCATCCCTGTCCACCCAACTCCAGTGTGCAAGGCCTGGGCATCTGGATTCCTAGACTGGTCCCGTTTCTGCCTTGCTTTGTGACTCAAAGAAAACCCTTGAGCTCCTCCCTCCCTAGCACAAGAATAATGACTCCTGTGTGCCCCACCCCTGAGGGTTGCTGGGATAACTAATGACATAATGGAAGGGAAAGCCCTTTGAGAATGTTTCAAGGGAAACACAAGCTGAAGGCACCCTTATTAATAATAGATGCCTCGGGTGCATTTCTGCCAGCGCACGCTCAGCACTTCTGGGGCGGATGCCCAGGAGATGCTCCGTTATTTCATTTGCTGCCACTGATAGCTCCGAGTGGGGAGGGAGGTGGGTGGGATGGATGGGTACCCTGCCCTAGCTCCAACAGCCCCTGAGCCCTTGCTGCTGGCACATCCTCATGTGTTCCATTGTAAACAATGCCTCACCCAGAGTCACCCAGTTTCAGAAAGGAGCTACCTGCCATTTCCTTCTCCAATACCATCTCTAAACCTACCTACACTTACTGAGGAAATCATAATATTGCAGATTTTTCTTTCCTTGGCTCTATTGTTCAAAAGTTTGGTTTTGTCTCCTGATGCATAGTTAATTTAATTATCCAAAGAAAATGATGGAACACTTGATGCTAATTTATTACCAGCCACCAAGGACACCACACTGACATAATCTCATACAGAGCCTCAGGCTGCAGCTTAGCAGGCTGCCTATTCACCCTGAACAACCAAATGAAATTGACTACCCAGGAGGTCAGCCAGGACATTAAACACTGTGATGAGTGTGGCAGAGCCCTGTGCCTGAGATTTATAGCACACCTCCCACCCCACGCTCCAGGACCCTCCCCAACATCAATTAGGCCTCATAACTAGGGGGACTCACCTCCTCCTACACTGCTTAAAGAAGGGGCATGCACTGTGGGTCCCCGTTGGGACAATGCCACAGGAGAAAGCAGACTGGACCCACACTGCTGCATCCCCCTCCCTGCATCCTGAGCAAAGCACAGTGGCCTA